TGTCTTAGTATTCTTTTCTGAAGATTCTGCTCTCCATGATCTTGCCAAGCACTGAGGTGAGACTGACCGACCTGTGGTTCCCTGGGTTTTCCTTTGTTTCATTTTGTAAAAATGAGGGTTATATCTCCTCCTTTCCAGTCAGGGAACTTAACTGGGCTGCCAAAGCTTCTCAGATATGATCGAGTGTCTTAGTCATATTTTTCCTATCTTTAGAAATAAAAGCCTTCAGATACAAAATTTATGCTATTTATAAAATACATTCTGTTAAATATATGTGAAGGATGATACCATATTAGAATTATTTTACAGGAAACTGCATACATTGGTATATGGTAATTGCCTAGACTTTCTTGAATTATTTCATTCCCAATAAACCAAATACACTAATTTATTCAAGTATGATTTAAAAGGTTGGTGGATATAAAACTCAGTCAGGGAGATCCAATAAAGGCTTGACATTCCTTTTTACATGACTTACGAAGCCTGCAGAATATATTGCTTCTCTTCAGAATTAAAAATTCACATATCTAGCAGCCTACACTAGGAGCAATGCTGCAACTCATTAGAAAGAAATACAAAGACATACTTTGAATCATAAAGATGGGGAAAATAAAATGTCAGTGTTTTTTAATAAAAATGCGCAGTGAAATTTATGAATCCATCTGTCATCTTATGAAATGTGTCTGAGACATGGTGAGAGAAAAATTGGTATAGACTTTATGGGCTTCTCTGCTCTTGTGATACAGACATGTCACAGGAAGTGTATGAGGGCAGGAGATCCAATTCTGTTCTCTTCTTTCTTGTGGGCTTTAGAAGAAATTCTGCTGAGGATCATACAATTCTGTGCATGTGAAGCGATATAAATAAAGTAGAACTCAGTCCAAGTTAGTGTTCTTTTTAGCCAAATTGTTACTACTGAAATCAGTTTTCTATGAGGTAGAAATTTTAGTGCAGGATTTTTCATATTAGGAGTGCTGTAGGATTGTTTGTGGCATTCAGCAGTTGAATACGTTTAAACCTGAAAGTTTTGCTATCTGGAAGGAAATGGGATGCTTTAGTGCAAAGCAGTCTAAAAAGAAAGTATGGCTGGGAATCCTAGACATGTGGAGAAACTGTGTCCTTGCTGAAGGTCATGGAAAAGAATGTCTGAATGAAAGTCATTCAGAATAATCAGCTGTTCAAAATACTGGATGGCTGATTAGTCTGAATGGAAAAAGCCAAGCATAAACAAAATTTGAAGACTGTGACAGAATTATTTGGGAAAAGCAGTAAGTCTGCAATTCTGAGAAGTTCTTGCAAAGTAGGTGAAAAGAAAGCCTATTTAGGAGGCTGTCTTTGAGGAAAATATTTTAACTTTTATATACTTGGTAGTGATTTGAAAAATCAGTGAATGTTGCTGACTCACTGTTCTTTGAGTCAAATGGATTAAGTCAGAGATACTGGGATCTTTATTTGATTTTTAAAATTAATAATACATATCTATTTTCAGATGCTTTACTCTATTTCAGAAGGAATTGTCCTTGGTTTTGCAGAGTATTTCTTGCCAGTGCTTGAGTAGGAAGGAAGAGAATCAGCCATCAGAGAGTGATGGGAATACTTCAGTATTGCATTCAGCTCGCATCCATGAAGACTTAGACTGGGGATACAGTTTCACATGCTGCTTTACCTTGTTTAATTTCAGGCTGTTATCCCAAAGAGGTAGTTCCTTTGAGGAAGTCCCTGTCATGTCAAAACCTAATCTTTTCTTGCAGAGGTTTGCTGTCTCTTGGATCAATGAACTGATGTAGCTCGCTTGGGATGCTACAATTCTTAAATGTGAGGGGAGAGGGCAGGAGCTTGCAGTGAGGAGCAGAAGAGCTCAGGACCTCTTAATATCTTCTTGACAGCTACTTCTCTTTAGATGAGAATAAGTCTAGTGGGAAAATCCACCCTTAAATAAAGTGCCAACTTTTTCATTTAAATAAAAGGAAATGCTGGAGAGAGCGCTAAGGTCTGTTCTTGCAAAAAGAAGGGAGTATAGCCAGTGAATGGATGGCCCTAATTCCATCCCTTCACACACACACACACAAAGGTTCTATTTTAATTTGTGGAAATAACTTCCCTACATAATTCTGTGACTCCACCCTGCCACCCAAAGAAGAAAAGTCATTGTTCAAGACTCTGTGAACCTTCCTGTTTTTCATACCAGGAGTTGTTTAGGGTATATGAAAGATGCAAGTACTGAAAAGTACCTTCTGATAAAGTACTTCAGTGATCAAGAGATTACGGTGATTGCTGGCAAATAAAGGGGAAACTACTTTTCTAACCTGGCCCTTAATGCTTTTATAGTTGCAAAACCAGTTGTATAGATGAATTCGTTTATAGACCCAGCAGTCAAGTTCATTCAGGTTTAATTTTATTTGTTTTCTGAACTCAGATTTTTGAACTGGGGGATTTTTTGGTGCAGGTGTCTTGACTCAAATACACTGAAGTGTTCATTTTGTTAAAACAATAGTTTAATAACTTCTGTCCATTTTAAATATTTGAGTCTTTCCTTCCTCTTTCTGTTTTCCCCATGACATTCAATATCTCTGCCAAACCAGTGTAATGACTTAGGGTAAACATCCTCTGATTAAATATGTGAGAAAACTTATGTGTGAAGTTCAGAGAGTCTTGGTCATGCCAATCTTGATTTTATGTCTGGAAATACTGGTTTTTGACATTAAACAAAAGGTGTATCATACTTTTCCCAGCACATACTGATGTGAATACATCTTGTAGCATTGAAAATAGCCAAGATTGTCAGCTGCTGTGGAAAAAAAAAAAGAATGTGGTTTAATTAAGGAGAAATTTATTATCTTACCTGGCAACTACCCAGCAGCAAGCATTATATGTGGAAATCCATTTAATGTGTTGGACCCAGCCTTATACTGGGAACTCACTATCAAGATTAAAGAAGAGTGAGAAAAGATCTTATTTCATCTTTACCTTCTCTGTGATTTCATTGACAATGCTTCCAAGTGACTCCTTTTTAAAGAAACCAGCTCCTGTTACAGAATGAGTTGTGAAGTTAAAAATGTGTCATGAGTATGAATGCAGAGATCCCTGTGATGCACTGTCAAAACTTGTACACATTTTTAAAACAGTGATATGGGGTACAAAAAGCCTGGTTGTCTTTGTGTTCCATTCACATTTCAAATGTGAGAAAACCAAAACTCTTCATGATATAAATCTTAAAGGAGACACAGATTTTTTCCTTTTTCTGCTATTCAGGTTTATAGGAAAAGTATTCATATGCCCTGCTGAAAATCCCTAAATATGTTGATGCCTGATTCCTGCTTTTTTCCTCTGGGAAGAGGAACCTTGCAGTGGTTTCTTTGCTCATTGCTGTCTAGTGACTGCTGCACAGGCAGCCAATTTGATATAACCCCTTTCATAAATTTGATCCAATTCTGTATAAAACTCAGTGCAGAACCCCAACAAAACAAAGAAAACCCCAACCAAACCCACAAATGTAGACAACCTCAACACATTCCCCGCACCCTCATCCTTGGAACTTTTCTATATGTCTTGAATGAGACATTGTTTTCATGCATTTAGAGACGAAAGTTGATTTGCTGCCTTAAATTTGACAGGAAGTGAAGCTTTTAATTTAAAGTTAAATGTTGCCTGGAAAATTTGAACCTAACTGAACTGTAGAATATACTTATGAATTTAACTTATTGTTTAAGCTAGAAACTGGTGAACTACTTACCAAATGATTGCTGTGAAACAGCTTGAGTTGAGTTCCTGTAAGGAAAGAAGGAGGACTAGGAGAGGGGCTGCCCAAATTTTGCAGCCTGGATTTGCCAGCCAGTCTTAGCTATTGTAACTGAATTCTGTTACAAGTGTATTATTGATTCATTATTTTAGTATTCTGACTGTAAGAAAAGCCATGTCTCAAACCCTCTTCTTCAGTATGAGGTAGACAGTTCTTATTCAAGGTGTGATTAAGGCTTTTTCCCATGTTGGGCTTTATTTCCCGTCACCCTTCCTCGTCATAGATGGCTGCACTCAGCAGTGTGGCGAATAGCTTTTCTGTCAGTCTGGTGGTGCTGGCTAGCTTACAGCTTTTGTGAAGGAAGGAAAGGCAGCCCCTTTCTGTCTTCTAGAAGGAATGGTGCTTAGGAGAGATCAGGGTTAGGGAAGGAGGGATGCTTGTCTAAGGAAGGTCTTGTCTTGATTTCTTGATCCTTTTTAGATCAAGTAGTGTGCTGGTATGCTGACACCTTCATAAACATCAGGAACCCACCTGGTGGGTAGAGCTGCCTTTTTGTTTGTCCTGTCCATGTGGTCTGTGAAGCATTTCCCACGAGCCCAACCTTAGGTTTCAACTTCTTCCCATAGAACATATGGAAAATTTGGTAAGACATCCCCATTTCCATATGTTTTGATTTCCAGAAGTACTGCTTTGAGATAGATTATTCTTTTGAGCAAATCTGAATTGGGAATTGAAGCTGTGGAACCCTAGGGAATAGTGCCTGAAGGAAGTTAAAGGTGAGACTGCAAACAAGGCTGGTTTCAGAGATGTAAGAATAGAAGATCAAAAATTACTTTCTTCCCTATGGTGCAGTAGTTTCTACATGTCCTTACAGACCCAATTAAAATAACATTTGATTAAAATGAGTACAACAAAGCACAGTTTTTAATGGTACTATATCTCTGGATAAATTGAAAAACCACCAAAGTTTAATTATATATTAAAATTAAAGAGTACTTTCTGGTTTTAGTTATATTACAGTTTCTCTGGTGTATAAGCAGTAAGGCAATTTAATGTAAAATTAAAAATCCTGGGACAACAGCTTCTGTCTCAATTCAAATTAGCATGCCTGAGAAAATAATTTTGGCCTTTAATGTTGATTTATAGCAATTTTTCATTCTTTACGTGCTGAAATCCAAAACAGTGTTATGTTAATATGGCTGTATTACCTGCAGGTGTTGCTTGAGAGTTGTGTGAACAGTCTTTTGTATTTTCTTTGAAGGATCAATATTTCAAGATGTGTGAAGCAGAAGGGTCTGACTGACAAGCTGCCTTGACATACACTGTTATTCTAACTATGACTGGATTGACTGAAAATTGCCTCAAAGAGTAAGGTAATTTATAAAAACTATAAAGCATAGCCAAGTGTTTGAAGTAATCAAAGTTAATGAGGAGTGATTTATTTTCACTTTTAAGGTGCCTTCACTGTTCTAGTTCCATGAGTTTTTCTTTCTGAAATGTTCATATTTGATACTGCATTTGCATGAAAAAGGTGCATTAGATGTTACTACTGCAAAAAAGATTAGAGCTGGCAAAATTGAATTGAAAAGTTTTTAATAGTTGTGCTGTGATAAATTGTTCTTAGTGTACCTGGGTAATTGAAGAGAAATCAGATTTTCATTTTTTGTGTATGTCTAGAAATTGAGCATAGGCTTAGGAAAAAATGGTAGTTGGAAAGAAGATGTATACATAATTATAAATCAGTGCTTTTTCATGAACTAGGAATTCAATTCATTTCAGTGCTACCTCGTTTCTCTGCCTAGACATACTGTCATAACAAGCAGGTATTGCTTTGGAAGCCTCATTGTGTAATACAAATATTGTATATGTATATAAGTAAATAAGCTCTTTTTATTTTTGAATCATTAAATGTACTCCTTCTCTATTGTGGATAAAATAATATGCTTATCAGTTTACTGGTACCAATTTACAGTCTGGTTTACAACTTGTGTAGTGAAGTGCTTTTGCACTACTAATGACAGAATTTCAATAATATTTTTTGTTGTTATTTTGGGATTTTGTATTGTGTTTTCCTCTTGCAATGCTTTTTCCTTCTCCTTGAAGAATCTTTCTGTAATTCAATATTTAGTATTTCGTGGGAGGATATCATATATGCTTAGAATAGTATTCATATGAGAGAGAGAGAGAACTTCTAATGGAAAAAAGCTTTTTGTCATCCAGTGGTGTGAAGAATATGGTAGGCTTAATTTACACAGAAAAATGTACTATTCTTGCCATGTGTGTTGTTTGCATTTGAGATTTTGAAGTAAAGGATAAATTAATTTTAAAAAGTCAAAGAAAATAGTGAACACAGCAATATGAGAGAAATTCTCTTTATCTCCTCAGTGGTAATATGAATGTGAAATTCAAATGATTCTGTGAACAATGTAAATTTTTTCATCAGAGTGTAATGTTTACTTACATAATAGATGTGAAGTCCTGGGTGAAATTTTTTTGTTTCATTAATGAATAACATAGACATACAAAAAAAAAAGGCAAAAAAATGTTCCTAGTTAGGGAACAAACTGGATTAACTTCTTGATGAATAAATGAGCTTTTTTTACCCTTAAGGTTTAAATTAATGATTTTATAAAAAGGCATACTCAGGCTCTAGTTACTTGCTTTGTTCTATTCTGCTTGCTTAAATTGCGCCTGAAATTACATTATTTCAGTGATGTTAAATGACTTCTCTGATTCCTTTAAATGAGAAATTGAAAATATTCTTAACGTATAAAATGTATTTGAAATGAAAGAGCACCAACATGGAAATGTAGGTTAGCACATCCCATTTAGGCTTCAGTTTTTTAATGATGTTTTAAAACTCTATTAGAGATGTAAGATTTATTGTGAGACTTAAGCCGCTGGGTTTTATTTTTGATACATTAAACTAAAAAATACATTCATTTAAAAGCCATACTAATCCTTTAACATCATATTAGCAGAGAAATTGTTCACATTTACATAAATGTGAAATGCATAAAAATAGACATTAATTTATGTTTTTTAATAAATTCTCTTTTCTTGGCCTTTGATAATGAAGGTACAAGAAACAGAACTGGCTGGAGAACAGAAAGTTAGCAGAATCAGCTGCAGTAAAGATAGAACACATCTTAATCAAACCAAGATTTAATTAAGCCAGATGAAGCCAGTCACAGATTTGATTGAATAACACTGGCAAAATGAAGGATAAATACTAAAAATATGAATTTTAGTAAACTGTATCTGTTACTTGAAGCCTTCCCACTGAAATGACATTACATGTGTCTCTCCATTTCAACAGATGTGGTTTAATAGTCAGTGTCTGTAAAACTGGCTAAAATCACATAATTTGTTTTAAACAAGAAGAAAAGCATAATAATAAATGGAAAGCTTTCTGGATAAGAGTAGACTGTGGGGGGAAGTAATAACAGGTGCAATGCTGGTTCATCCAAAATGTCATCTGTGCTTCTGAAGTTTTGATCCAAGGTACTTACCCTGCTCTGAACTGAAAATGTTCATTCTTACAGAATAATAGTATCACAGAACAGGTTAGGATGGAAAAGACCTCTAAGACCATCACATCCAGCCATCAATGCAGCACTGTCAAGTCTGCCACTAAACTATGTCACAAAGTGCCATATGTACACGTCTTTTAAATACCTCCAGGCATGGTGACTAAGCCACTTCTCTGGGCAATCTGTTCCAGTGCTTGACTGCCCTTTCAGTGAAGAAATTGTTCTAATATCCAATCTAAATCTCTCCTGGCACAACTTAAGGCAATTTCATCTTTCCTATCTCATGTTACTTGGGCAAGGAGGCCAACCTCCACCTTGTTACAACCTCTTTTCATAAGGTTCCACTTCAGCCTGCTTTTCTCCAGGCTAAACAGCCCCAGCTTCCTCAGCTCCTCCTCATCACATCTGTGCTCCAGACCCTTCACCAGCCTCATTGCCCTTCTCTGGATACGCTCCAGCCCCTCAATGTCTTGCTTGTAGAGAGGGGCCCAAAAGTGAACATGGGATTCAAGGTACAGCTTCACTAGTGCTGAGTACAGGGCAAGGAACAATCGCTGCCCTGCTCCTGCTGGCCACGCTCTTGCTGATACAGGCCATGTGCCATTGGCCTTCTCAGGCAGCTGGCTCACGTTCAAATGGCTGCTGGCCAAAACTCCCAGATCTTTTTCCACCGGGCCGCTTTCCAGCCGCTCTTCCCCTAGCCTGTAGCACTGCCTGGGGTTGTTGTGACCCAAGGGCAGGACCTGGCACTGGGCCATGTTGAACCTCGTGTGATTGGCCTGGCCCATCAATCCAGATCCCTCTGCAGGGCCTTCCTTCCAGCAGATCAACGCTCCCACCCCGCTTGGTGTTGCCTGCAAACTCACTGAGGGTGCACTTGATTCCCTGTCCAGATCATTGATAAAGGTACTGAACAGGCTGAGCCCCAGTACTGAGCCCTGGGGAGCACCACTGGTGCCTGCCTGCCAACTCACTGCCATTCACCACCACTCCCTGAGCCCAGCCATCCAGACAGGCTTTTACTCAGCAAAGTGTGTGCCCATCCAAGTCCTGGGAAGACAGTTTCTCCAGGATAATGCTGTGGGAAACAGTATCAAAGGCTTGTCTAGTAGGCAACATTCACAGTCTTTCTGTCATCCACTAAGTGGGTCACCTTGTCGTACAAGGAGCTCAGGTTGCTCAAGCAGGACCTGCTTTTCCTAAATCCCTGTTGGCTGGTGCTGAACCCCTGGTTGTCCTGTGACACATGATGGCACTCAAGATGATCTGCTCCATGAACTAACAGTTCCAGATATTGATGAGGTCCCCTCTCAGCTGTCCCTTCTCCAGGCTGAGCAGGCCCAGCTCCCTCAGCCTTGACATGTAGGAGAGATGCTCTAACCCCTTAATCACCTTTGTCACCCTCTGTGGGACCTGCTCCAGGAGCTCCCATGTCTCTCTTGTCCTGAGGAGCCCAGAACTGGGCACAGCATTCCAGATGTGGCCTCACTAGAGCTGGGTGGGGGTTCAAAAAAAAAAAAAAAAAAGAAAAACAAAGGCAGCAGAGAAAAAAGAAAACTTGAATTCCAATCTTCCCTGCTTTATTTTATCTATAGAATTGAGGTGTCTAGCTGCAGAAGGAAGGTTTTCTGATGGTGATGAAATTAATCAGAACTTTGAGTTGTTATGAATTATTTGAGAATGAGGAGAAATTAGAGTTGCTTACCTAAAGAAATCAGTACTTACTTCAGAAATCACGTCTGAAAGTCTTGAAATAGGCAAATTCTTTCTAACCATTGTTAGGACGCTATTCACCCCTGCACATATGATCCTCAGCAGCATTCCTGAGCATAGTGACCTGGTTATGAAATGTATCACAACACTGGTGATATCTGCAAACAAATTATAAGTCGGTTCATTTACTTAGGTTTCACATAATTCTGTTGGGAGCAGTGGCAGCATGAATTAGTGTTGTATAAAGCAGGAACAGACTTCATTTGCACAGCTAAATAATTGTGAAGATTATCAACTCTTGCTTTTAGAGAGGCAAGAATATTTCTATAGTGTTGAAATGTTTGTATCACAGTTCTCTGTTCATTACAGTTTTTAATGGTGGGCAGATAACAGGTGTAATTGTAACTACTTTGACAGAATTATTTAAAATTAAATGAGCAAACAGGCGAACTTTTAGCTGTTGAATAGGTGTTGCACATAGGTGGCTAGTTCCCAATGCCCATCACCAAAAAATGTCCCCAGGGCAGCTAGCTGGAGTTGGTAGTTTGTTCTCTCTGTGCTGTTTACCCTCCTTTGTTCATGTACTTGTTAGGGTTTTATATCTGACAGAATGCCTTAGTCCTTCCTTTCTGGCAATGTCCCTATTCTGAGTGACCTCCTCTTTAGCATAACTATTCCAGCATTTCATACTAATATTAGTGGTTTCTGCTCTACTTCCCCAAGGGAGAAGTTGCCCTGTCTGTGAATCAGATCCTGCTCTTCTGCACAATATGGTTTTCTCAAGAGTATCTCCAGGACTGCAGGAATACTCCTGGACAGTCAGTGCTTTTGGGGTTAGCTGTAGGGATGCAAAGATAATTAACCAGTGTAATACAGAATGTATTACCTTCTTCTTAGGTAGCTCTGAAACCCATGCAATGAATTCTGATGGGTATAAAAAAATTAGGAAAATAAAAAAAAAAATCCATTTCATCACATCTTCCAGGTAAAGAAATTAATATTTCAGGGAGTATTTCAGCTGAGCATCCTCTTTGCATATTTACAAGGAACTGAATTGGGAGTCTTCACTCAGGGTATGGCTTCACTCACCACTTCACTATGGTATGGCTGTCAAAGCAGGCTGATGA